GATGCTTACCCTAGCTGTTCTTTGAGTAACCTTCCACTCCACCCCCCCCCACCCCACCCCCCCCCCCCGGGGTGGGGTGGTATGGGTTAATTGGGGGACTTGAAGTCCACTCATCTTAAAGTGGCCAAGTTTGGACAACACTGGCCTAGGCATTTCCATGAATTAAATATTTAAATATGACATTTCATCTAATTTGACATGAAAATAAACAACTAATGCCAAAATATGTATTGCAAGTAATCATTCCCCTAACCATTTATTTTTTAATAATTATGTTATGCTTGACTCCTAGAACTACACAAATGCTAATGCGTATATGCAAGATGATCTAGAAAATCTTTGTCTGCAAAAGCAATGTGCTGCCAACCATGTTTCTGTAAGAAGTTCAGAATAAAACTGAACTTGATGTCATAAAACTGTGAACCAGCATTATTTTATTCTGAATTCTCCAATTGTTTCTGCCTGTGCAGTCTGATTGGGCAGAGTTGGGATCCTCTGGGGGTGTTTAATTAAATGTTGTAATCTTATGGAACAAAGGAAGCATGCCCTGTCATACCTCTGTAGTCTAGAAAAGCACCTCCCTTAAGATGCATGTTTCCCACCCTTTAAATGTTCCAGAAATCTCTTACTGTAAGACCTGGTTGTGTTCCCAAGGCCTGAAGTTAGGGTGTGCGTGGAAGCCCTGGGAAATGTTGGTGTTGGATGTTATTTATGTGGCATTGTTCAAGTGGTCATACTCCTTTTTAAATTATGTATTTCTTTAAATATGGAAGCTGCTCAGTCTTTTCTGAGTCAGGCAGCCTTGAAAGCCAATAAATAAATTTTGAAGAGGAATAATTATGTAAGTGAAAAATCACATTCTTAGAATTAAAGCAAGTTGAAAACCAAAAGTTAATCCTTAGTAGAAATTTGCAGTTGCATTTAAATTAACAACACATATACAATGCTGCCCCAAATACTGATATTTAACATTTTATGGTGTAATGTATTTAATTCTTTATAAAGCATGAAAGTCACTGTTTCATGAAATCCTTCAATTTATGTAACAAAAGTTCCTCTTTCCCTTATCCATATTCCTTAAAATTTTGTCTGTAGAGTCCAATTTAAGGCCCCCTTGTTCCCCCCCCCCCATCTCTTTTCAAAGTGAATTATTGTCTTAGATAAAGTTCTTGGATAGAAGACATACTTCTAGATAATTATCTGATCCAATAGTTCCCTCCCATGTACAATCTTGTTGCTAGAAATATTCAGAAAATTAAAGAAAAAAAAAAGTTAGAAGTAGACTTACTTTGGAGGACCTTTCTAGTCACTGGAAGATGACCCCCCCCAAAAAACCCCCACCTAGCTAGAAGGTAGGTCTTAAGACGACTCTCTGTTCCACAGAGAAAACCACTTCAGTTGTATGCACTGACTTAAGCTGAGAGTAACTCAACTTTTATTCTATATTCCACAGTAATGACAAAAATTGCACTTGGCAAGATGTATGAAAAATGGAAGAACAATATATAACAACATAATGTAGTAAACATTTTAACCCTTGGTCACTTGGCTATCCCTCTTAATCCTCTTCCATTTCTAAATAGGATGGAACAATAAGGACAATTTCTGATAACCAGAAAGTTACTTCATGGTAAGCCCAACTACCATTTTTGGTTGCTGACAACAGGAAAGTTATATTACAGTAGTATTTCCATGGTGGGTCAGTAACTTTCACTACAGCCCAGTGTGACCAATTCTGTATATGAAGTTGCTCAATTATCTATTTTATGTTTTATAAAATTAGTTGGCTATGCTTTGGTAGTCATGCTACAAATGTCTCCTAGTAATAACTCCTGCCACTAAAGCCATCAGCATAGTCATAGTACACATTGTGTACTGTGTGGCCATTACACAAGACAATGAATTCTTCAACCCATCTGCAAATGCAAACAATTGATTTCATGCTTTGTAAGAGACTATCAGTCCTTTCTAATGAATATCTGAGGTAGATTTCAGAAACCTGAGCAGTCCCAGCTTAAGACAAGTGTATTTTCTGCAGAGAATTGGGTCTGGGCAGAAGAGGGAAGCTCAGTCTCTGATGGAATTTGAACCATGAAGCAAGGATCTAGCCCTAGATCTACCTTGCCCTGGTGGAACATACACAGATTCGCCCAATAACTGGAAGCACCCCTTTCGCCTGAAGTGTTCAAGTCAGATTTGTGCTACCAAGAAGGCTGTCTTCTGGATGGGAATGTTATTGTGAATCCATCCAATGGGTTCAAAGGAGGGTGGTCATTAAGACTGTGATTCCAATGTTAATCTGAACACAAACAGTGAATACTAGAGGTGACAGAATGAATCCCTAAGGAACTGGTACATGTGAACATGGCTGAAAATGATGCTCCTTGCCCATTTAAGAGCCCAGAGCCTTATCACTACAGCATGTTGGCTGCTAGCCCTTCCCCGCCAGTACAGCTTCTTTTCATCCTTCCTCTCCCTCTTTCCTTCCTTTTTCCCTTGGTTCCCAAAATGGAGCAGGCATAAAAACCACTCAGAAAGTAAAAAATAAGATTGGAGTGACTTTCTTCCACAAGACAGCCTTCTAGTAGAATAGGTGGAATTAAGTCTTCCCTCTTGGTTCCATATCTGCTGACTGAGAACAGCTGCTAGTAGGGGACAGTTTGTTTGCTGCTCCCTCCAGTTGACACTATCTACGATTTTATTTTTGATTTATAGTTTTTCCATAAGTCAAGCCTTCCATAGTTGCTTGAAGTTGGGTGGCCTAGAAATTTGATAAACAAACAAACAAAAATAAGCACTTATCCTAGGTGAAATTAGAAGCCTTACATATTCTAGTAGCAGACTTCTAGCAAACTCATTTATCCTAAATACAAACATATTAAAATGTTTATTAGACAAAGATATATGAGCCAAATACTAAATACATTTAAAATAAAATCAAAATACAGAAAAAGGGTATTTTCAAATCTACTATTTAGCAGTGAAATAAAGATCTGTTTCCTAAAGCATGAGCTTATTGAACAGTAAGTTAAATGCAGTAAAAACAGTGTATTAAAATATGCATTTATATATTAATTGCCCCCCAACCCCCACAAAAACTATATAAATAACTTCTTTTTAGAGATGCAGATCAAACAAATTAAGGGCCACAAAAGATGTTTCCTATAATAATCACTTAAGCTAAATAAACCATCAAGAAGGAAAAAGACTGATTAGCTGAACTGTTGAATTTTAGAAATATAGTCTCCATTCAATTCTTTGAAGGACGTGCAGTCCTCAAATGGCAGAGAATAACTGCATGGAGCTGGATATTGAGCCATATCAGTAGAGTTTGTTCTCTCTCCCTGTTCTCTGCAGCTTTCTGCAGCTTTTATGTCCACCACTCTGTGCTAGAGCTGATGAGTTGGAAGGTCAAAGAACTGGTAATGTTTTTCCCTGCTTTAGTTCAGGAATATTCCACTGAATCTATGTTCTGCTCAGAAACCCTTGAATAAAAATATATGTTTTCTTAAAAAACATTATTTTCCTCTCCATATCCTTCCAGAAATGGTTCCTCATAATCTTTCTGTAGGAGTTCTTTGCTTCTGACTCTCCCATCATTATAGCTCAGCTTTCTGGAAACTCTAGGAAAGAAAGAAGACTTGATCAGTATGAAACAAATGCCAGAAAAACTGGAGCAAAAGACCCTCCAGCACAGGTATATTGGCAATGTCTTTTTTACTAGGGGGAAAAAAATGTCCATACATAATTAATACACTAATGACTATCTGATGCATTTCAAAGAAACTCATGCATTACATATCATATAAAAAGTATCATAAAGCCCATCAAAGCATAATATTAAGCTACTAATCTTGAAGCTAAGATTATTTCAGCAATAATTTTAACTCTAGAATATTCTAACATGTACAACAGAGCAAAAGAATTTTTGGTTTTTACTAACTCTGAATTGTAGAGCTGATGATATCAGCAATGCATGATGTAAAAGAAACTCATAATTGATTTCTGTTAATGAAATGCCACACTCAACCAATATAAATTCTACCTCAGCACTGACAGCAGAATGTATGATGTCTGCTAGTATCTATCACTCTTAGCTCAAAATTTTCATATGAAACTGTTTATTTGGAAAATATGCACACAAGTGCATTACTGAGAAAGCTGAATAAATATATATATATAAAAATAAAAAAAATAAAAAAATAAAGTTTTGTACATCAGCATTGGTGTTTTTTAAAACAACCCTGAACATCCAATGAACAGAACATTAACTTAATGTAAGTGATGCTCACTGCATTCAAACACTATCTTTAGACAAATCTACCTGCTGTTACCTGGTGTAGCCAATTCACCCAACATAACTTAACTTGGTGTAACATTATTTTCTTTATTTTTGTGAATTAGTTTATTTGGACTAAGGTTAAATAACTTCATATTTTAGTCTTTTTCCATGTATCTGTTTTTTCCCACATTAAAAATTTTCTAGGAAGGCCACAGCTCCATAGTAAAGCATTTGCTTTTCATGCAGAAGATTCTAGCTTGTACAGACATGGCTGAGAAAAACTCCTATTTACACTCTTCAGAATGACTGCCAGTCAATTGGGATGAGAACTATAAGATTCCCTAACTAGGAAAAATGGGTTGACCATTTGAGGAAACCATATTGTTTCAAATAATCATTTCTATTAATTTATACAAAGAAATGGCTGTTTTGCAGTAAAGTAAAACAGTCTCTTTCACCTATTCACTCTTTCACCTATTCACTATCCACCTTAATTTCTTTGCTTGAACTCTAAAAGAAAATAATGACCAACTCTAATGGTGGGTAATCTTTGCCCATTAATGCCTGTCTCCTCTTCCCACTATGGTATGCCCACAATCTTATCATTTTTCCATAAGTGATCTAGCAATGCAAATTCATCTCCATGTATTGAGAAAGGAAGCACCCATCTCAGTGCACAGTGAATAAATAAATCCAGTGAGAAACAGGAACACACAGAGATAAATAATGTTGCTTTGACTGGACCTCACTTTTATTTATCTGTGATCATACATGGTAACTACCCCCTTCCCCTGAGTTCCCTGCCATTGGAATATTATGCAGAAAGGAATATAGAACAGATGATCTTCTGTGTCTTATCTTATATTCTTTTTTCTTCTTAAATGTCTTAGTGCAAGAAAATGTTTTGTAATTCTATAAAAAATGTCTTGGGTCACAGATGAGCAAACTGTAGCCTCAAAGCTACATGCAAATCCTGAACCCCTTCGTTGGGGCTTTGTCGAACCTTTCTAACCACTGTTGCCAAAAACTGATGATGCACTTTTCCACTGTTGTGAGGTAGACACAAAACTAAATGCAACTGTACAGTAAAACTCATCATAGTTGAAAAACAAGGAACATATCCTGACCCACTCATTTGGTATGGCTACCTCTCCTGCTCACTAGGGCCTTTGATTCTCTGACCCCAAAATATTTGATGTGATCCATGGCAATAGAAAGGTTATCGATCTCACCTAAAGTGTAGCCAGTAGGGATACCTGAACATTTTGCTTCCTCCTCTCTATGCATTTGCAAAGAAATATAACAAAGGAATTGTTATCACTTTGGGTGAGATGAGTGGTCACATACATTTGACAGATAAACAGATGGAATAGTGAAAAGGAATCCAAATATTGCTTACTTTGGTATATAATTTTGTGATTTTCTTGGAAACTCACAACTCTGCAAATACTTGGGAATATTTTCATTCATATCTGCAATCCTGGATTCTGTGAAAAAGTTAGATATGGATTAAAAAAGTGTCCCTTTAAATATTTTGGCTGCAAATTATTTCAAGAAGGAAAAAAAATCACTGAGGACAAAAATATGAAAAGTATAAATTCTATCCTTTTAGCAGGTTGAATAAAGAAAGATGAATCTGTGAGTTTCTTATAAACCAGGGTAAACTAATTTCAACTGAGTGATAGGAAAAAAATTAGTTTCATTCATATTTTTAAAGAGGCCATCCTAATTCATACTTCCCAGACTAAGTAATACACATACTGTTACATTTACTTTCTGACACCCTGTTCCAAATGTAACAAGACAATTCACAACTCAAAAACCGTATACATAAATGTGAGTATCAGGGTAAGTTGGAAAAACAAAAGCAAATGCAGACTGATATGTCAGTCAGTGGACACATGAATATTCAGAATTGATAAAAACAAACAAAACAAACAAAAACAACCAAAACCTCTGATCTAATATTCTGATTAAGTTTTCGGGTTTTCAGGTTAAGACAAAACAAGAAACAAACCTGTTGGTATATCACGAAAAGCCTGAATTCATGAATTTGTGCTATTCTGACAGCATCTGCTGGTACTGTCCATTATTTGTTTAATGTATTGCCTAAACTATATTCTTTTATATCCAACATAAAGGATTAAAAAAAGGTAGAGTTGATCTAGTAACTGACATTTGGGTGTTTCTTGGAGTAACTGATTAATTGCCTAACTTGACCAAATAACAATACATTGCTTCATAGATTTCATTTAATCTTTGAAACCAACCTTCCATATCAGCAATTGAAGTGGCCAGAAAACTATGGTCTGAAGAAACAGAAAATCCATAATTCTGTAAATTAAAGAGTTTAAGATCGGTTAAACTACATCATTAACCTGGATTAATGATGTCCAGGAGTTAAATGTAATTTAGTAACAAGCTTCTACCATACTTTTTTCCCATTCTGCATCACATTATAGTTTCCAAGTATCAACTTATTTTTTTTGCAGCAGATTTGGATCAAACATTATTTTACCTTTCATCTACCACACATTATGTTAAATCTACTACTTAGATAGAAAGTTTTAATATAAACAAATGCTAGCATTCTTCCAGTCTAATTCATACATTAGAAAAGTAGAGATGGGGAGAACCACATAGTGCCGTACCAACTAGTAAGTCTTTTAGCCCAATCCCATGCAATCTTAAAAACTGTGCTAAATTCAATGAGATTTTTATCTAGATATATATAGGACTGTGCCCTGATAAGTAGGTTCATGTATTTCAGAAATGTCCATAAATGAACACTTTTAAAGGATTTGGTACTTTAAAATAGTTTTTTTTAGGTCTGAGGGCATTATAGATTATACTTCACTTACCATATTTGATGCCCAACTGTTTTTAACAGGTGAATGCAACGTGAAAGTTGCATCGCTTCTAATGCTTTTCCAGCAAGGTCGTTTCTGACATACTGTATAAGAATTACCAGATTTGTTTTTTAACCTTTTTAAAGGTGAAGACTGAGAATCTTCATTGCAGAAATGTGCCACTCTTTTAATTCTGGGAACAGCAGGTAGAGTTCTTACTGGAGAATTAACAAGGGCATTTACAGTTTCAGATATTTGCATTCCTTCATATTTTTTTAAGTTTGCTGCTCTTAGAAATGTTGGAATTTTGGGAAACCCTTCAGAACATAATTTCTGGTATATATCTTCAATCCTATTATTGGTTTTTTTATGGAAGTTTGAGGACAAATTATTTAAACCAGAAATGTGTACTTCTGCGGAGTTTCTAGGGCTTGTGTATATATCTGAAAACTTAAATGGTTTCTGCTGTTTTGGAGAGCACAATTCCTTATATATTTTTTCAAACGCATCTTCGTATTTCTGATTAACAGAGATGGGACTTTGGTTAACATGAAACGATGAAAAAGAATGACTTCGTGGTAATGAAACAGTTGCAGCGAAAGTTTTAATTTCATGATTTCTCTGTAGTCCATCAGAAGTTTTCACTGGAGACTTGATACTTTGCAAAACAGAGTTGGTATTGTTATTCAAGGACAAACTTAAACATGAAGTAGTTTTAAAGGCCAGGGTGCTCAGTCCCCCAGTGTTACCTTCTGCTATTGGATTAAAAGTTGTGTCTGAATCTACAGTGCAAATTGTACGGGAACACTCTTCCAAATTTTGATTCTTTTTTAGACTGTCTAAAGATGAAGGGAAACAAGCTGTACTTTTGACCAAAAATGTTTTTTCTGTATAAAGAGTTCTAGGAAAAACAGTTGCCTCTGTAACACTCTTTCCAATTCTTTCACTGTACAAATAATCTTCTACAATACCAGAACAGTCTATTTCCATTCTGTCTGATTTTTGAGATACACTAGATTCTATTCTGGAAATACTTTTTTCTGAGCATTGTATCTGATGCTTTGAATTGTAAAAAGGGCTGTTGTGGCCATGATTTCCTATAGATAATTTGTGCTTCTTCTCATCATTTTTGGTAATGAAGCCAGGCTTCAGTTTTAGTACTCTGGACTTTCTTGTTCTATCTGTATTGGTATTAAATTTCAGTTTTTTAGAATGCCAATATCCATATTTGTACCGCTTGATTAATAAGTTGGAAGAGGCTGTGTGGGATACTTTATGGAACAGTCTGCTAAGAGTCTTCACCATTCCTGGATACAAGTCTGCTATTGTGACATTATTCCATGAACAGTTTTCATCTGCAGATTCATACATTTCCAAAAAACTACTGTGGCCAGTTTCATTAACACAAAGGGACTGATTTTTAGGCACAATTGTCCCATGCACTGAATGTGAAATAGCAGAATTGGATGGTTCTGGAGATCTCAGTGATACAGATGACAGCTGCTTCTTCTGGGCCACATCATATCCTATTAGATCTAATACAACAAAGGTACAAAAAAAAAGTAGTACTTAATATTGTTTACATTACTTAATGAATATATTTAAGATCTTCTAAAATCTCTTTGATCTGTTATCAATGTCACTCTATAGCTTGATTCATTAAAATAATTCCTGGCATACCCTACGTTTTAATTCACTGCAGTGCTAGTTATTTATTTTACTTGTATACTGTGGTAAAAAAGAATGGCCCTGTTATACTGTACAATAGATAAAACCACAAAACATAAAATAACATTGCAACACAATTATAAAACACAACAATAATACTCTTCAAAACTAGTGATTTGAATTGTACCCAAGAACCTACCAGTAGCCAATATCGCACCCACAATACAGGTATTATGTGACTGTGATGGCTTTCACCCTCCAGAATGCAGGATGCTGGATTGTATAACAGCAGCAGTTTCCAAGTAGTCTTCAAATAGAGCTTCATGAAAAATGCAGATTATAGTACTCTAGTCTAAAGGTGATAAAGCCATAAAATACTATTGCCAAGGCTCCTGATCCAGACAGGGGTCAGGTGTGAATCCAGGAGTATTCCCACATAATGGACCTGCTCCTTCAGGGGCTGATTCACAATTTAAAGGAACATCCAGAGCTGGATGATTTGTGTACAAAGAGGAACTCACTCTTCTTAAGGATCGCTCTTCAGTAAGCCTGTAGAGATGCCTGTAGTACTGATGAAATGAAGAAGGTGCTATCCATTATAATATACAACCATATAATATCTATATTATGGGTACAGCTGAAATCACTAGTTTTGAATGAGTTTTATTGTTGTCTTTTATTATTATGTTGTAATGTTCCTGACTCCCTCAGAGAGAGAATAATTATTTTCCAGACTCAGCTTCTGTCTCTCTCTCACACACACACATACCCTCGGTCAACTGAAGGAACTAGGTAGGCCGTGAATTTAAGCCACAAGTGCACAAAACATAAAATAACATTACAACATAATAATAAAAGACAACAATAAAACTAATTCAAAACTAGTGATTTCAGCTGTACCCATAATATAGATATTATATGGCTGTATATTATAATGGATAGCACCCTCTTCATTTCATCAGTTCTACGGGCATCTCTACAGGGTTACTGAAAACACAAATCCAAAACTGTCTTGAATTATGTTGAAACATAAGATAGCTTCATGTACTCATAATTCTTAAATCAGGCTGTTTTTACTGATTCGTTTGACTTCAAATAAGCATATTAATTATCTAACTATCTAATGATTTATAGAATACAAAGACATGTTAAAAATTATTCGTATCTTCAGAAATAAATTCAGTTAAACTGTGACTTATCCAAAGCTATTTTATAAATTACATAGGCAAAAGGGTATATGAAAATGTAGACTTTTCTATCTAAACTAAGCTTAACTATGGTATATCAAACTGTAAAATATAATCATGTAATGCTACCGAGAAAAGAGAGCAAATTACTTTATGATGCAGGACTAGAAAATATTCCTGTGAAATAAAGTAGTATTCAGTTGATTGAGAACATTCAACACTTGTAACCCTATTAATCTGTCCACAGAAATCTTTGAGTGTGTTGTTAAGTACAGATTTATTAATATGTGGCTCTAAGCACAATCGTTTTAAATTATCTTGAGTGCTATCACTATAACAGCTGTCTGCAGCTAACAATATTACTTCTTAAAATAAATTTTAAGGGCCAGCTATTCAAACACTGGCTGTTAAGAATAACATATTAATTAATTAAATTAATTAATTAATTTTATATGCCACCCATCTCCCCCAGAGGATGACTCTGGGCGGTGTACAATTAAAATCCAAGACAATAAAAACAATAAAAATATAAACATCCCCAATTAAAAACACAAATAACAATTCTATAAAAGCCAGTATACAATTCAAGATGATGGGGGGAGCAGTATCAATCATCTCACTAGCCAGTTACAGCAATGTGAGCCCCCATCAGGCCCCCAGGCCATGTGGCGTAGCCATGTTTTTACACCTTTTTGGAAGGCCAGGAGAGTGGGGGCAGCCTGCACCTCGGGTGGCAAACTGTTCCACAGAGTGGGGGCCATGGCAGAAAAGGCCCTCTTCCTAGACCCCGCCAGCCAGAATTCCTTGACTGCTGGGTTCCGGAACATGCTCCTTCTGCCAGACTGAGTGGTGCAGGCAGATATAACAGGAGCAAGATGGCTCCTCAGATAACCTGGTCCTGTGCCATGAAGGGCTTTAAAGATGATAACCAACACCTTGAATTGGACCCAGAAGCAAACCAGCAATCAATGCAGCTTGCATAACAGAGATGTTATATGTGCCACCCTAGGGGTGTTCAAAACTCCATGCTGCTGCATTTTGCGCCAGCTGTAGCTTCTGAATACTCATCAAGGGTAGCCCTATATAGAGTGCATTGCAGTAATCCAAATAGGAGGTGACCAGGGCATGAGTGACTGCATGGAGAGCCTCATGATCCAGGAAGGGGTGTAACTGACGCACAACACAAAGTTGCATGAAGGCCCTCCTAGCCACGACTGCCACCTGCTCTTCAAACAGGAGTCATGGGTCTAGAAGGATCCCTAGATTAGGCAGTCTGTCTGTCTTGTGTAGTGCAACCCCACCTAGAACTAAAGATGATAAGTTCCTAGATCTTGAGGCTCCCCATACCCACAGCCACTCCATCTTACCAGGGTTCAGTTGAAGCCTGTTGCCCCCCATCCAGGCCCCTATAGCCTCAGGCACTGTGAAAGGGTAGCCACAGCTTCATTTAGGTCACCTGGGATGAAGATATATAGTTGAGTATCATCAGCATACTGATGATACCTCATCCTGTGATGCCGGATGATCTCACCCAACGGTTTCATGTAGATGTTAAACAGGAGTGGCGAGAGCACTGAACCCAGAGGCACCCCACAAAGTAGGGGCTGCAGGCTGGATCTCTCACTCTCTATCAGCACTGATTGGTGTCAGCCTTGGAGGAAAGAGCTGAACCAGTACAAAACTGTGATTCCCAGCCCCAACTCCCGCAGCTGACCCAAAAGGATACCATGGTTGATGGTACTGAAAGCCACCAAGATGGATGCACTACTTTCATCCTGCTCTCGCCAGAGATCATCTAAAAGAGACCAATGCTGTTTCTATCCCATAACTGGGCCTGAAACCTGACTGAATGGGCTCCAGATAATCTGTTTCTTCCAGCGTCCCCTGAAGCTGTAGCGCGACCACCTTTTCTACAACCTTACCAAAAAAGGGAAGGTGGGAAACTGGACGAAAATTGTCCAAAAGGGTGGAATCCAGCGATGGTTTCTTGAGGCGGCAGCTGACCAGGGCTTCTTTAAAAGGTGTCAGGAACACCCCCTCCTGCAAGGATGAATTGACCACCACTAGAACCCACCCTAATGTCATCTCCCTGGTGGCTTTAACCAACCAGGAGGGACAAGGATCCAATGCATAGGTGGCTGCACTAGCAGCCCCGAGGACCCTGTCCACTTCCTCAGGTCTAACATGATCAAACAGTTCCCAGATAATCGGGTAAGTCAACTTGCTGGGCATCTCCACCAGACCTGCATCATGCTTAGCCTCCAACTGGGAATGGATCCGAATGATTTTATCTGTCAAGCGTTCAGCAAATTCCTCTGCCTGGCCCTGTAGATGGTCCTCCTTACCCAGGATGGACTGGGTGACCTGGAACAGGGCTAACGGGCGACACTCTGCAGATGTAAGAGCGAGAAATAATGGCATTTCACCGCCCTTACTGCCATGAGATAGGCCTTAATAGCGGCTCTAACCAGTGTTAGTGGGACTGGGACCCAGCTAGCCCCTGGAATCTATGTACAAAGGGCAGAACACGGGTACAGATTAAATGCATGCATGTGCATGTGTGCCTACACACAGTCTTCAGATCCAATTATGTAATGTACTTAAGCATCAGTAACTCCTGGAATGCATGTAGGTTCCACTGATGAATACAAAATACAAGTTCTATATCAGAAGATTCCAATTTCAATTTATGGCACTTCCATTATACAGATTCTAAAGAAAGATTTCTAGCTGAAATCCTGGAGGTCTTCGCTACTTTCAGTAAAGAAAAGTTTAAGCTAGATGGACCAACACACTTACTCAATATAAAGCAAAATAATTATAAAGCATTCTCAATGTAAGGCAGCTAGTACAAATTATTTCAGCCCTTGGCTGAGTGCTCATTTTCTTCTACTCAGATGGTACAGACAGACCAGCTGAAGAAGACTGAAATAGAAGAGGGGGAGGGGAAGAGGATGTGTTGCAGTTTCTGCAGGAGGATCTTGTATTTACAAAGATGGAAGAGAGCAGATTGATAGAACTCAAATTAGCTAAACTGCATTCCTTATTGGATCCAGATCACACAACTAAATAATAGTGCATTTGACTTTTTTTTTCCTAAATAAATTCCCTAGAATTGTCATATAACACCCATGTCCACCTGAGATCAGTCAGTCCTTCAAAAATAATCTTACTTGGGCAGTGTGTCTATCACAGTATCATAATACCAAGGATTTTTATGAGCCAAATTAATGTAGTTCTTGGCTAGTCAGTTAGAAAGTATAAGCTTTGTACTCAAACGACCTGAAAGTCTTTGGGACATCTAATATTTTCCATAAAATTTTCCTTAAATAAAGAAAATTTCCTTATTTTCAGTAAAGCGTCTTGAAGCTGTTGCAAAGCTCACCAATTAAAGATTCATTTTCCATTTCCTGCAAAGGAGAGGACTGATGAATACTTCTTGGTTTTGTTCTTGTAATCTAAATCAAAATATCCAAAGAATATAGTTAGTAAATAAATAAACCACATTTTGGGATATACATTATGTTTGTTACTGCTGCTGATTATTATAGTACAAAAGTCATGTAACATGCTAAGACAAAAAGACTGGACAGGGACAGAAATATGCATATGAGGGGACTAACCTAAGAATGATTAGGTAAAGAATTAATTGCACAGTGTTGTAACACATGGAATACTATGCAAAGTTTTCATCATTGCAATTTAAAAAAGGTAATCATGGAACTGGGGGGAAAAATAAGACAGAAAAGAGCAATCAATTTGCCTATAGGCTGGAACAGTTCTTTCAGGAGAACAAGTTGGAGTTAGCATTTTCTCCCATTCATCTATTTAGCTAACACCTACTGGTTAAGATATGGATATATACAGTATTTCCTCTAGGATCAGAGGCAGTGGGAGGATGCTATTCTACCCATGTCCTTTTTGTGAATTTCTCATAGGTGTCTGGTTGCCCACTATGGTAAAAGAATGCTGGTGGACTAGATTAAGCGGGAATATTTTGGTGTCGCTTTCATTATTCCAGTTGATTAATTTCTTATGGAAACAAGAATATGAATTTATCTTTTAAACCTTTACAATTAATTTCAGAAGTTCTGATCTACATATCTGCTAGAAATGATTGTGCACAATAGTGCCTCTCCAGCAGAAAATATATAGAAACTTACAGTATGTTGAAATTCCATGGACAGGAATCAGATCATGGATAAAAAAATATGGACTATACAGCTATAACCCGAAAGGAATTTCAGTAGAATTAATTAACAGCTGTACTACCGTAAATGTTGTTGGAACAGAGCTGGCACAATCTTCCAATAGCATGTCCATTTCTACTTTGCATTTATTCTTCACAGGTGTTCCAGAACTGCATTCAAGTGGGATATTCTCCTTTCAATAAAAATAGGACACAGAGCAAAATAAAAACCTGCTGTTTACATGAACTAGATAATTGGATATGGACTAATTCTTTATGAATTTACTGACTTGAGTTAATAACCAATTTTCACATTGATCCAACAGGCTCATCAACTAAGTTATACCAAAAGTAATGGCAAAAAACTAGAGAAATACTTCATTTTAGGATGATGAACTATTCTTTCATACATCATTTTTTTTGGCTAGGGCAGTATCTTATACTGCAGAAGAACAGGGAACTATTTGCTAGATGATAATGATCATGATTACATGTTGTATGCAAACAATCTTTTTGGAAAAATTACCCAGTAAGAATAAGTCCTGAAAAGGAACCACAAAGATCTTAAAATGTAATACATAGTTTGTCATATATTTTCTGTGGTAAATAATTTGGTACTGGAGCACTGTATTTAGGACTGTATCTTAAAAATGTTGTCTGGGAGCATCAGCATACCCAGCTGCCCCCCGCCCCCAGTGCCCAGCCCTCCAGCGCTCCATTTTAATTTTTATATTTAAAATAGAAAATAGTTTAATTCATAAAAATAAAATTGGCATGCTGCAAATCAAAAGAGTTTCCAGCATAATTTTAATTTCAAAGCCTACATAAGGAGAGTAACAGTGAATAGTTACTCTCCTTATGTAGTAATAGTCCAAATCAATGTTTGGCACTATGTCCATCTGTCCGCAAAAAAGAAGAAAGGTAAGAAGCTTTATGTAATATCCTATAGGGAAGGGGTAAAATGTGTTGTATTCTCAAAAATCACTGATTTGTAACTATGTTACTTAAGGCACTAACTTTGTTAATGGAAAAGCCTCCCACCCCTTTATGGTGATTTTGCAGGAGCTTCCACAACAATTTCACAATTCGAAATATGAACGCAAGTTAAAATAGAACGCACAGTTGCCCATGTAGATAAAATGCCACAAACATTTGCTGACTATATAGAAAGCTTTTCACAGCATTTTTTTTTTTTTTTTGCAGTTAGTAAAGTATGTAGTTCAGATTCTGTCCTATCCCTTAAGGTAATCCTTGTTTAGTGACTGCCACGTTTAGTGACTGTTTGCAGTTACAGTGGGATGAAATAATAACTTTGCAACCAATCTTTGCATTAATGACCTTTGCAGGTCTGTAAAGCAAATAAAAGCTGAAGTAAGATCGTAAGCATAGTCATGGTTTTACTTAACAACTGCTATGCTTAACAACCGAGTTGCCAGTCCCAATTGTGGTCACTAAATGAGGACTACCTGCATGTCAATGTATTAGGATACCTAACACAAATATCCTAATATTGTGAGTAAAATTCCATTTTTGTCTACACGATTATTACCTTGAGGTGTATATTTGCCAAATGCCATTTAATAGACGCCAACTCAGCATTCCTTTTGTTACCTACAATTCAAAATTAAATAAAAATTATATTTTAGTCAGCATAACTAATACCAAGGTTTTATTAATTTTTCACATAGGACTGTTTTTATTTGTTTTTTTAAAAAACACAGATCTTCCTTTGGGCAAATATAAGAAAAATTTACTCTTTTTTTTTTTTTTTTTGGTAAATTTACTCTTCTTCAGTAGCTATAAAAAACCAAACATTGTATTACTACTAAGATGAAAAAATATATCGAGCACTGTGATTATCATGAGCTTTCAAAGCATTTCACTGACAAGTAATTGTGCAACTAGAATAAGACACATTTCAATTAAATTGCCTGGTTGTACTGTCATTCTCTGAGAAATGCATGTGGAGGGCCATGAGTGAATGTCATACAGAAAGCCGTCAGACCAAGGTTTTAAAAAATAATGACACAAATACTGTGAACTGGGTTGTTATTTGAAGAATGGGCAATGAATTAATAACATGTGCTAATGATTTAAAAGTGTATAAGGAGCTGTAATTTCATATGCATGTCATATGATTCGTGAATTACAGACTTAAATACACATTATCAATCCAGATACTACAACCAGAGTATTTCACTTATACAAAAAGATGCCAAAAATATTGATTGAAAGAAAAATAAAAATTACATTTTCAGCTAAAATTCTGTGCTTCATTAATTCACAGGACTAGGTTTATGATGCAAAAGTATTGTCAAATATAAATTCAGTATGATACATAGGAATTGTCCAAATCTTTGGACTTTGTAGATCAAGTATAACTTAAAATAGATTTTAAAATAACTTTAACTTAGCTTGCATTTAAATCCATAGTGAAGGGTGTTTAGATAAACTGATTGGTGGGGTCTAGGCAGAGAGCCTTTTCTGCTGCAGCGCCTGCCCTATGGAACATCC